GCAGCGCGGGCGAGGGGCGCACGGGGGCGCGGGGAGGAGGGGTGGTGGTAGGAGGGTTTTCGACATAGGTAAATTTCAGGACACAACCCAAATCTGACCAGTTGGCGGTGGGCCCCTCGAGGGGCGACCCGCCCCGGGACTGGTAGCTAGGGGTCCGGGAGGGGCAAACGGGGGGGTTGGCGCCGCTCGGGGTCGAGCAGTAAGAGAGATGACCGTGGGACCAGATATATATCTTGGAAGATGGGGGGTACCCCTCGGGTCCTCCTCACCATCCTTCCCACCAAAGATATATATCCACCATGATGGACCCCGATTGCGGCCCCGACCCCCCAGCAGCGGGGTAGATGGCCTAAACAGGCGGGAGAGGGCGAGGGGACGGCAGCACCGGGGCGGGAGGGGCCCGGGAGGGGCCCGGGGGGCGTTTTCGAGAGACCTAAGAATTATGGACATACCCAAATTTGACCAGTTGGTGGACCATGATTTTTGGACATACCCAAATTTGACCAGTTGGCGGTGGGCCTGCGCTGCCCACCCCTCTCCTAGGTCCCCCGTGGCCTCCCCGCCCATCTGCTTTTCAGCATGCAAAGTGACTGTTTGCGGCCTTCTGGTCAATTTCTCAGTAGGGTGAGAACGGCGATGATGCGGACGTGGTGGGCGGATTTGGTGGAGGGTCACGTGAAATTGGCCGAAAAACGACCAAGTCCCTTAAATTGCGTTACGGGACTAACAGGGTGGCCCACTTTGTATGGGAAAAATGCCGTGCACGGACCACTTACATAGTAAAGGATGTCCCCAGGAAAACTTTTTGTACACTTTAAGGCTTGCTGGCCATTTCCCCGCCCAACTGGGGTCGGAGAGTATGTGTAAGAAGAGGTGGTTCCGCCCGCCTCTTCTCACAACATCTTCCATACTCTGCCGTCAGCCTCGCCAGGTGTTGGGTCTTTTCCTCAACACCGGGGGTGGGATTCACGCTACGGTCGCGCTCCCTTCGGGGGATGCGCCCGTGGCCTCTGAAGCCCTGGGATCCCTGGATCCCCGGCAATGCCGAAGTCTGTGGGCTCTTGGCCGCTGGCCAGCAGACCCGTCCTTTGGTAGTAACCCGGGGGAAGCCGCCCTGCGTCATACGCCGTTCGCCGGCGGTCGCGCGGGGGTCGGGCCCCCCTTCCGAGGGCCGTATGCCGCAGCCCGTCCCTGCCCGTCCGGGCGGTGGGCGGAATCTCTGCGTGCGGACCGGCGCTGAGGAGCCTAGAGGGGGCAATTTGATGGCCGCTCGCGCCCCCCCGGTACGCCGGGGGCGGTTGCGCCGGTCGGGCGCCCCGTGCGCCCCTTCCGTTTAACTAAACTCTGCTCCTTCGGGGGTGGTGGGCCCTCCCGAGTCGCGCCGGCAGCCGCCGGCCGGCCCGGGGGACCGCCCGCTAGTGAAGTTATCTGGTTGATTCTGCCAGTAGTCATATGCTTGTCTCAAAGATTAAGCCATGCATGTCTAAGTATAAGCACTTTATACTGTGAAACTGCGAATGGCTCATTAAATCAGTTATCGTTTATTTGATAGTACCTTACTACATGGATACCTGTGGTAATTCTAGAGCTAATACATGCTAAAAACCCCGACTTCAGGAAGGGGTGTATTTATTAGATAAAAAACCAACGCCCTTCGGGGCTCCTTGGTGAATCATAATAACTTAACGAATCGCATGGCCTTGCGCCGGCGATGGTTCATTCAAATTTCTGCCCTATCAACTTTCGATGGTAGGATAGTGGCCTACCATGGTGGCAACGGGTAACGGGGAATTAGGGTTCGATTCCGGAGAGGGAGCCTGAGAAACGGCTACCACATCCAAGGAAGGCAGCAGGCGCGCAAATTACCCAATCCCGATACGGGGAGGTAGTGACAATAAATACTGATACGGGGCTCTTTTGGGTCTCGTAATTGGAATGAGAACAATTTAAATCCCTTAACGAGGAACAATTGGAGGGCAAGTCTGGTGCCAGCAGCCGCGGTAATTCCAGCTCCAATAGCGTATATTAAAGTTGTTGCAGTTAAAAAGCTCGTAGTTGAACCTTGGGTCTGGCTGGCCGGTCCGCCTCACCGCGAGTACTGGTCCGGCTGGACCTTTCCTTCTGGGGAACCTCATGGCCTTCACTGGCTGTGGGGGGAACCAGGACTTTTACTGTGAAAAAATTAGAGTGTTCAAAGCAGGCCTTTGCTCGAATACATTAGCATGGAATAATAGAATAGGACGTGTGGTTCTATTTTGTTGGTTTCTAGGACCGCCGTAATGATTAATAGGGATAGTCGGGGGCGTCAGTATTCAGCTGTCAGAGGTGAAATTCTTGGATTTGCTGAAGACTAACTACTGCGAAAGCATTCGCCAAGGATGTTTTCATTAATCAGGGAACGAAAGTTAGGGGATCGAAGACGATCAGATACCGTCGTAGTCTTAACCATAAACTATGCCGACTAGGGATCGGACGGGATTCTATGATGACCCGTTCGGCACCTTACGAGAAATCAAAGTTTTTGGGTTCTGGGGGGAGTATGGTCGCAAGGCTGAAACTTAAAGAAATTGACGGAAGGGCACCACAAGGCGTGGAGCCTGCGGCTTAATTTGACTCAACACGGGGAAACTCACCAGGTCCAGACAAAATAAGGATTGACAGATTGAGAGCTCTTTCTTGATCTTTTGGATGGTGGTGCATGGCCGTTCTTAGTTGGTGGAGTGATTTGTCTGCTTAATTGCGATAACGAACGAGACCTCGGCCCTTAAATAGCCCGGTCCGCATTTGCGGGCCGCTGGCTTCTTAGGGGGACTATCGGCTCAAGCCGATGGAAGTGCGCGGCAATAACAGGTCTGTGATGCCCTTAGATGTTCTGGGCCGCACGCGCGCTACACTGACAGGGCCAGCGAGTACATCACCTTGGCCGAGAGGTCTGGGTAATCTTGTTAAACCCTGTCGTGCTGGGGATAGAGCATTGCAATTATTGCTCTTCAACGAGGAATGCCTAGTAGGCACGAGTCATCAGCTCGTGCCGATTACGTCCCTGCCCTTTGTACACACCGCCCGTCGCTACTACCGATTGAATGGCTCAGTGAGGCCTTCGGACTGGCTCAGGAGGGTTGGCAACGACCCCCCAGAGCCGGAAAGTTGGTCAAACTCGGTCATTTAGAGGAAGTAAAAGTCGTAACAAGGTTTCCCCGCCATAAGTCATGCGCGATTGGAACGCTAATGCGTCCTTCCGCAGTGTACACTTATTGAAGCCTTTGCAGCCCCGCAAGGGGTAGGCCCGGCACGACTCTAAACCAGCCCGGGCCGCTATGCAAGTCGGCGCCCCCGCCCCCCTCCCGGGGGGCAGGCGCCGGCGACACTCTCGAATTGACGGGGACACCCTAAAGCCAATCGCACCAACCCGCGGCGGGAAACCGCCCGGGGGCCCGTGGTAACGACACGGGGGATGGTAATAGACGATTTGGATACCGCCCGCGCTTCGGCGCGGCGACCATGGGCAATCCGCAGCGAAGCCCCTAAGTCCCCCTCGGGGGATATGGGGAACGTCCACAGACTAAGTGGAAGTGGGTGGGACGCCAGCCGTCCCGCTTAAGATATAGTCGGGCCCCCCGGGAGACCGGAGGGGGTGAGTACACTGCTCCTTAACCGTTCCGTAGGTGAACCTGCGGAAGGATCATTACCGAGTGAGGGCCCTCTGGGTCCAACCTCCCACCCGTGTTTATTCTACCTTGTTGCTTCGGCGGGCCCGCCTCACGGCCGCCGGGGGGCACCCGCCCCCGGGCCCGCGCCCGCCGAAGACACCATTGAACTCTGTCTGAAGATTGCAGTCTGAGCAGATTAGCTAAATCAGTTAAAACTTTCAACAACGGATCTCTTGGTTCCGGCATCGATGAAGAACGCAGCGAAATGCGATAAGTA